GCGCAAACGTTTAAAAACCTTTCCCACAAGAAAGTAATAATATTGATCTAATTATCTCAAAAAATGTGATGATGTGGCTTTAGCAGCTTGGGAAATTGATCAGTCCCACGCTACTGAGACCTATTAACATTTAAATATATTGTCCAGAAAGATATAAAAACCCTCTTTCCAAGGTCAAATGTGCTATTCTCTACCTATCCACCAGCATGTAAGGTTGTCATTCTGAGGCTCTGGCCCTTACTTTAATAAAATTATATTATGATTCCTGCATTTTCCTGTATCTTTTTCAAGAAGCACCGGTCACACTACGAACTTGCAATGTTTAGGATTTCAAAGCGTAACATATATATATATATTTGAGTTTACGACTACTAATGTTCAACTCCGGAGCCTTGTAATTTTGAACTAATCCAGAGGGCAAGGAAACTCATGGATCAGTCCCCCCCCCCTCGAGGTATTGATTTGTTATGGGGAGGAGGACTTTGCTACTCAACACATTCAACGTGTATCAGTCACCATTTACTACACGGGGAGTCTTCGGCCGGCTGGGATCGAACCTACGAACTCCTGGACATGGCCCTATCGACCAGGCTATCCCGGCCCTAACTATTATATTTCGGAAAATTGGTTACTTGCACTTCAAGAAAAAGATCGTGATACCCACATATGTGTTGTTGTTGTTAGTTTACGTCGCACTAGAGCTGCACAATGGGCTATTGGCGACGGTCTGGGAAACATCCCGGAGGATGATCCGAAGACATGCCATCACAATTTTGATCCTCTGCAGAGGGGGTGGCACCCCCGCTTCGGTAGCCCGACGACCTGCGCGCGAAGTCGAGCACTTTACGGCAGAACAGTTTAAAGAGGACCCATACCGCACACCCTCGGTCCCTACGCAGACTGATCCAAGTGGGTCACCCACCCGCAGCCAGTGATGCTTGACTTCGGTGATCTGCTGGGAGCCGTGTCTTAACGATCAGTCCACTGCGGGACCCCACATATGTGATTCATGAAGCCAATTTAGTTAATCGAGCCGCGATGGCTCAGAGGAGAGAGCGTTCGCCTTCCAATGAGGCAAACCGGGTTCGAATCCCAACGGTAGCAGTATCATACGAATCCGACCTGCACAGGACACAGTGCTGCCGTGAAATATCCTCAGTGAAAGACGGATTAAGAGTTAGAGTCCCTTTGCCGCCAGAGTACCCGTGGGAGGTTTTCTTCTCCATGTAACGCAAATGCGGGTTAATTCCCACAAAAAGTCCTCCACGAAAGCAAATTTCTCCCAATACTTGATCCAAGAGTTCCCTTGTCTTCTGGATTGGATTCAAAATAACAAGGCTACGGAGTTGAACGTTAGTAGTCGTAAACCCAAAAATTGGGTCGGCTGTTCAACGACGGTAATAAAGTAAAATAAAATACCAGTTGATCGTTTATAAGCAAAATAGCGTGTTAAAGTTGAGCTATGTTTCTCCGCATAAGTGTCCCGCAGTGGACTGATCGTTAAGATACGGTTCCCAGCAGATCACCGAAGTCAAGCATCACTGGCTGCGGGTGAGTGACCACTTGGATCAGCCTGAGTAGGGACCAAGGGTGTGCGGTATGGGTCCTAGTTAAACTGTTCTGCCGTAAAGTGCTCGACTTTGCGTGCATGTCATCGGGCTACCGAAGAGAGAGGGCCATCCCCTCTGCAAAGGATCAAAATTGTGATGGCATGTCTTAGGATCATCCTCAGGGATGTTTCCCAAACCGTCGCCAATCGCCTATTGTGCAGCTCTAGTGCGAAGTAAATTAATTACAACAACAATCTAAACAATTTCTATCAAATCTTTTTTATTTGTTTTTAAGGAATAGAAAGAGAAAAAAAAAATTATTGTAGATGTATCCTAATCAACAAAATTCTTGATCAAAGGTAAATAAGACTTATTTTTAAACACACTATTACGGAAATTTTCAAACATTGTAATTTTTTTTTTAAAACTCAAATCGCAAGACCTTGAAATCGTAATTGTAAGATAAAGTGTTGGTAATTTTGTGGAACAAATCATCAACAAGATGAGGCAAATAATATAATTTATTTTCACAACCATAGTCCACACATATATAAAGCAATTTATATTTCACCCAGAAAATATAAAAATAAAATAAATACAATTTATGTTTCAGACATACTTAACGAATTTTTATTTTCTTTACAGAGAAATTATGATGAAGCACACAAGTACATTAAAGCAAGAAAAACATTGAAGATGGGAAAAGCTCATATCAATACCAGTTAACTTTCAATTCTAACTGAGTCTTAATTTATTATGCAATTTCAGCAAACTGTTTATCATTACTAGACTTTTTGACCAACAATTAACCTGCAGAATAGGAGAAACGTACACAACAGGGACATTTAGTTACAAATAATGAATAAAGTTTGAAGCAAAATTTAGAAAACAATGTAAAAGAGGAATAATTGTTTTGGAATGTTTATTTGAGCGGTTAGTTTCATTAATATACATGTTTTAAGATCCAGCTTTGCTTTTAAAACAGACAATGTAAAAATAAGTTATTTCTACTCTCACATAAATACAAAAAACTTAAAATGTAAATTTGTTCTGTTTCAAACACTAAATTTGTTATTTATCGTGTCCAGAGTTTTGCCATAATTTGTTTCATAAATAAAGAGACAAAAAAGAATACAAGAGAGATTAATGAAGAAAAATAACAAGTTTCATTTACTGCACACAAGCTGCAAGTACACAGAAAACATGAAATAAGTTAAAAATAGAAAGAAATCACAGAAAAAATATATAAATCATTAAAGAGAAGAAAAATTATGACTAGTTTTTTATTAAAATATTATCAAAATTATCTTTTTTATTAAAAATTAAAAGCCAGAAAAAAAAATAGGGAAACAATATAATCTCGTCATCAGCTCACACGATTATATCTATAAAAAGGAGTGCTTTCTAACATTGAATTAATATAGCCAAAGTAAAATGTAGCAATAGAATAAGTGAGAGGAGTGCCAGAAAAATTATAATAGAACGTAAAGCAAAAAATACAAAATAAAACATATAAAGCAAAAAATATGTAATAAAAATTCAAGAAAAATACAGAATAAAAAACAAAATTTAACATATAAAGCGAATTTAAATGCACTTCTACTTCCCGGCATCTTTTAAAAATTATTTTAAATATTTTTGTAACAAGTTTGCCAGATTATAAAATATGAAAATAAAAGCAAAAAAAAAAAAAAATTACATCTGTTGCAATTACATGGGCCCCTGATGGTAAAAGAACAAGAGGAAGACCCAGACTTACCATCCAGCACATGTTTTTGGGCGAATTAAAAGAATGTGGAATATCTGGCTGGGAGGAAGCAAGATCTATTGCTAGAGACAGGAGGCATTGGAGGGATATGCTAGAGGCCTTAAGTGCCCAAAGTCACGTAGAGGATAAGTAAGTAAAAGCAGATAGAGGACAGATGGATGCATTTTATGGTACGTTCTTTAAGTACAGAAGAGAATTTGATTTAGTTACCTTGGTTTGGCCCAAAATTGCATGTGCGCAACAGAACATTATACTGGATAATTCAAAGTTTATAATTAACAAGGCGGAAATTTAACTATAAACATTTAATTTTGATAACTTTTAGAGAAATTATTCACATTTATTGAAATAAGTACAGAAAGTGAATTTGATTTAGTTACCTTGATTATGAGTGAATTTGATTATCTTTTAGTTCTTTAAGTACAGAAGTGAATTTGATTTAGTTACCTTGGATTGGCCCAAAATTGCATGTGCGCAACAGAACATTATACTGGATAATTCGAAGTTTATAATTAACAAGGTTGAAATTTAGCCATAAACGTTTAATTTTGATAACTTTTAGAGAAATTATTAAAATTTATTGAAAAAAATTATATAATAAAAATTAATTAGATAATATAATATAAATTAGATTTTTAGTCACGGATTCGCCCGCATTGGTAAATATATAAATTAAGACAAAGAAATTTTCATTTATAGCATGCAATCAACTCGAATGATTTTAATATAGAATTAAAATATATTGGTCCATTGCATTATATCAAAATTTATGGAAGAGTTGGTCCATTTGTTTTTTTGACAAATTCTTTCAATTCTATTCATTTGATTAAAAATAACATTTAAAATCATTTCTTCTATCGCATAAAGCAGATATTTTCTTCTTTTTTAATACTTAAATCAGGGTTTGCACTCAATTTCAGAAGAAAAAAAATTCCCTGACTTTTCCAGGTAAATTTCAATGAAAATCAATACCATATTTTATCTATGCTAAGAAATTTTTCATCAGAAAATCTTGATTCGTTTATTTGTAATGCCAAGTATCAGATTTTCTATGTAAAATAAATATTATATGAGGAAGGAAGCATTTCAGTTTGTCTAAAATGCGAAATTTTTACAACAAATAATTGT